TAAGACTTCTCTCATCATCTTGAAATCCATAAAGCTAAGCTATGACATATATAATGAATTTTTATATTATAAGTCTGTTTGTATACATATATCTAAGATACACACACACACACACACACACACACACACACACACACACTTAATGAGAGAAACCTTCCAGAGGAGAAGTTGAAAAAGAGAAGACAGATTAAAAAAAAAAAAAATTTTCAGAGGCCGGGGTGGGGAGTGGGGTGGGAAAGAGTGTACCCCTCAGCCCAGCCTGTGCCCTCTCCAATGTGGGACATTCCTCTCACAATCCAGGATTGTTGGCTCCCAACTGCCTCCCTGCCATCCTGATTGCCCTTCAATTGTTCCCCTGTTGGCCTGGCAGCCCTCCAACTGCCCCCCTGTTGGCCGAGCCACCCACCATTGTCCCCCTGCCAGCCTGGTTACCCATTAACTATCCAGAAGGAAGTCAGACATCCGGAAGAAGTCCAGTCGAGAAGATGTCTGGTCTAATTAGCATATTATGCTCTTATTAGTATAGATATATAGAGACATAGATATAGATATAGACATAGACATAGACATAAATGTATCTTGCAAATTATTTCTTCTGGATACTTTGTTTAGCAGATGCTATCTTGATGCCTCTCCTACCCCAATATCTAGAGTTCAATTATATAGAGCATTTATGAGAGACAAGGAATCGTTGAAAACTTCATGACAGATATAACTCCATCAGTCTCTATGATCATTGCCATTGCCTATTCCTGTCCACTTCCACCCATACACACACACACACACACACTGGAGAATTTTATTGGCTCCTTAAAGCATCCCCACCTGTAGCCATCATTTTGATCCTCACCTCTCCTCCCTCTCTTCTTCTCTCTTCCTATCTAGAAAAAGTACAGATTACTCTTTATGTTTGAAAGAGAAACTTCCTGTCTTCTGAACCCTTGATATCAGCAACTAGATTCTGGGTCAGTGGGAAAGATTAATTTAAAATGTAGCAAAGGTGTAAGTGTTTAAGTTCTACATGAATAATTTTTCAAAATATATAATTCCTTCTAAAATGTCTCTGCTTTTCTACTCTTGTTCAGTCTATTAAATTATTAATTCCTCAGTGCAACTACAAACTCCTGAGGACTGTGTCATGGTCTTTGATCTCCTTTCCTCTGTCTCTGTCTCTAGCACCTGATGTGATAAACACTAGGAATGAATTCCTAAGTGTTTTCTGAACATAATGGGACAAAACTGAGTTCTTACCTTGATGATTATAATACTAGTCTCAGCTCAAATTTTTTTTTCTTGTTCATTATTCTGCCTTTTCAAATTCTAGCTGCCTGTCCTTCTACTCTTATCTCTCCTTTGAAGCTTCCTCCTATTTATCTCTTTCTTTCTCACACACACTTAAGACTTTCTTTTCTTTGCTTACTCTATGACACAACTTATTTTTGATTCATATATCTTAAATATGTTTGTTCTTTAATCAAGCAGAAGAGATGAATGGGTGGGACATAACTACAAATTAAATATTTAATGAACTAAAGTGGTATAATAAAATAAAGTGCCATAATTATAAATATTAAACAGAATCTGAGCTAACAACTTCCTTAGAAGAAGTGTTCTTTAATTTGCTTCTTATGTCCTATAATAATGGGTGATTAGTAATGAGTCATGTTATATTTAACTGGCATCTGTTTTTGCCTTATTTCTAGAGACTTGACTAGAAATGAGTTTTCACACTAAATGTAGAAAAGTTCTTTAATACATATTCATAAAAATAATTCTACTTTTGCTACAAATATTCAGAATCAGCTTGCTGGTTTTGGTAAAATTAAAAATATATAGCAATAGTACTATATTCTTATGGTTACTTTTTATTTTTTTCACCAAACATCAAAGTATCTTTTGGTAGTATATGTAAGTTACATTTTCATACCATTGGAAAAGTCTCTGGTTAATTGCTTTTAAACCACTTGAATAACTTGAATGAGGACAAATATTTAATGAAAGTGCTCACTCCATTTCCACTAATTTTGCTACTTTTCTATTTTTCCTTTGTCTGCCATATGTAAATATGGAATGAATGAGATCACAGCTGAGTTGGTTAGAGTCCTATTAGGATATTTGTATTGTATATTTTTAAATGTCTGGACCATAGATGCCTTCCTGGGCTCTGTTTCTTTAAACTCACTCTTTTACCATATGTGTTAGTTCCTGGAACTACAATATGATGCTCCCACATGGGGACAGGGTTTACAGGAGACTCAGTGCTGAAATGAAACTTCTTTATCCTCATCAAGCAGTTATTACTCTGGGCCTACTGCTGCCTGCGTGCTAGGGAGCCTCCCGGGATCAATAGTTATAAGCAATAGCTTCTGCTCTATAGGTCAGGAAATGCTGATTTGCAGTCCAGGTACAAAGTTCCAAGAAGTTAAGAGCAGCAAGTAATCACATGGCTGCAACGAAGGGGAGCTGGAACAGTTCTCTATGGTAAGGTCTAGATGAGCACAATAGAAGGGAGGAGACTCATCTGGGGAGGAAAATGAGGCTCAGAGACATCCTGGAACACGTGTGCTGTTGTCCAGGGCCAAGAAACAAGCCCTTTGGTCTCTGACTATTTTTGGCTAAGAAGTGGCACATTCAACATGACATTTCAGACTAGAAGATTATGAATACGATATATGAGACCTGGGACATTTGGAGGCAGAAGGATCCTCAGGGAGATTATTTTACCATAGACAGAGGATAGACAGGGGACTGGAATAGTGGCAGAGGAATGAGAAGGAAGGATTAAGCTATAAGAGATAGTGCAAAAAGATGAATCAATAGGCTTGGCTAGCTGACTCAATGTCAGGGGAAAGACATAGGAGTTAAAAAAACTTACTTTGGGGGCCTCAATTTTTACACTTGGTAATAGATGCCTACTAACTTGGCTGTTGAGGTCCAATCTCTCTCCTCTTTGAGGGGCAGGGGTATTACCTCACTCCCAGACATTTCACAGATGGCACAGTTCAATCCTGTGCCAGGAAGTTGGAATTAGGCACCTAGACAGTGGTCTCCCTATGAGGTGGGGTTGTGTCCATCTGTGAGCTGGGAAGCTAAAGGAGCTGCTTTGTAGGAAGAGGAAAATAAAGCAGAAGTGGATAAAAAAGTATGAGAGACAGAGAGGAAAAGGTAGGCCTGGGTTCTCTGTTACACTTTAGTCTTGGCTTTCATGTGTCCCCTGATTCTGTAGGACATCCTTATGACACAGGAGTACATTCCTGCTTCGATTAAGCCAAACTATCTTTAGTCAACTGGTGCTCTGGCTACTCTGATCACTTTAACACTTTACTAGTCAGTAAACATTTTCATGCCATTTCCTTCATGTAGGATATTTTCCTCTGCCCAACCCTGCTGATTCTGCCTGTAGAAATCCTAACTATACTTCCTTTATTCCACCTCTCTCCTTTAGGTAATTTTTGAGTGAGTGATAATATTTGTAAATTGTAATGTTTTTTCACTTTAAAGTTCCTGCTTTTAGTGAACTATAGGAAGAATAATTAAAACTATTTAAATAAGATAGAGGTAGTGGATGATAGTAGAAAATCAGGAAATTTTTGCTTTCACAAATACACATTTGAACAAATTCAAAAGACAATGGTCTACTTATCTACTTATACCTTTCACTCTAAGATGCATTCAAAGAGGTACAAGTGGGCCACTTGGCTAAAGCAGATATTTCACTTAAGGAAGTATATTAGGAGTATTATATGGAAGGAGAAAAAAATTAAACAAGCAATGCATGATACATCATTGCATAAGTACTATAAATTCAGTTTTATAAACATCCAGAGGAAGTTCTATGGTAAGGAGAGGCAGATATGGAAACCACCAATACTTTCTCACTCAAAACCCAGAGCTTTCTCCACTATGTGGAGAAAGAATAAACATCAATTTTTAGGTGACACAAAGAATTTAATTTTATATTTTCAAATAATTTTTAAAGCGATGATATTCTTAAGTTATCATCCATTAAAATAGCCATATACTCCGGGAACCATGTTAAACCTCATGTTTTAGCTACATTACATAAAAAATAGATTGCTTTTCTCCTTTTTCTCTACTGAAACACTACATAATATTTCTTAAAATGATCTCTTTTTACTTCTAGAAACGAGAAAACCAATCTGCTATCCTGTGAAATCTCACATAAATTTGGAGCACAAAAGACTATACTTTCCCTTCAGCAATTGAGCCTTTGTTCTAATAACATAATGCCTTGGGAGGAAAAAAACACACACAAAATTACCTTATGAAAGCAACACGAAAATGCCTAGCAAATGGAAGGACATTTAATGAGCAAGATAAAATGCCAAGAAATAGCTAATGTCTCCTTTTGTCCCATTCAGAGGATACTCCTAAGATCCTAAAGCATTAACACTGAAAGATTACATGAGCAGCACTGGTTAGCAAGATGCTATTGTACAAACAATCTGTTGCTAAGCAGGGCAGAAATATTGTTTACATAAAAATGGAAGGACTTCTGGTGAATCCTGAAAGAAAGTGATAATTTCCATAACCGAAAGAGCATTTTTATATCATTCCATTTCAACTGCTATAAACCCTGAGTTGCTTTGGCAATTGCTGATTCCCATTTTGCTGGCTCTATATCATCCTCATCTCTGCAGCTTTCCATTTACTGAATGACAGGGGGTCTTTTGTGTTTTGTTTTGTTTTGTTTCCCCGGAAGCCTTGGCAGGAAACACCACCAAGCTATATGGTTTCTAGGGGCCCACTTTGCAATGCTCATCCAATGCATTTTTGGTGCCCCTCTCCTAAAAGCCCAATTGGCTTATTCTGGTAAAATTGCTGAAAATATGGTCAGAGGAGGCCCCATTAATAGCAACTGTGAATGATGGCCTCCTCTAGCTTTATGGAGCCTTTCCCTGCTTAGTGTTTGTTTGTTCTACTGAGAACAAAGCAGGGCACAGTTTCACTGAGAAGAGGGGAAACACAAAGACACTTACCTGCATGACAATAAGGAGGTCAAAGACCAAGATGAAAGAAGCCAGGAAAGCTCTAGAAACTTCATCACTAGGCAAAAATCCCCGATTCAACTTGTCCCAACTGATCCAGTCCGTTGTAATGACGAGTACAACCACAGAAGTCAGAGTGAACAGAACCGTCCTGCAAGGAACAAGACACTTGTTAAAGAATATCAGACATAATAACACACAGACAGTGGAGAGTGCATGTTATCTGTGCTATCTATATTAAATGTCTACCCCAAGTACCTACCCTGAGGCACATTCACCAAAAGAAAGAAGAAAAAATAAGTAGATTAAGTGCTGCCTCTCAAAAGGAATTAGAAAAAGATATGTTAGCATATCCTCAAAGAGTTTCCCTTAAGAACATTAAGATAATGTTTACAGACCAAGAAATTAACAACAAAAATATTACAAATGATCTTGGTTAGTGCAATGTGTGGCAAACAGGACATTGGTGTGTACTTCTCACTGCATATACTTCCTTTACTGAGGGAACATGTCTATGGGAGAGCATAGACAGATGGTAAATGGGTGAGGAAGTCCTTGGAATCTATTAGCTTTTAACAAAGAGAGAGAGAGTTAGACCTCCCATCATTCTCCTAATAGCCTGATGAGCTTTATAGAGAAACCACCTCTAAATGCCAACCTCTCCTCATAGGTCTCATGACATATAATTATATGCAGATAAAAGTCAATGAATATTTTTAAAAATTGTAATAATTATCAATTAAGCTTTTTATTAAAAAACTAGTGCATGTGTGCACTGATAGGGTCCCTTAGCCTGGCCTGCAGGGATCAGGACAAAACCGGCTCTCTGACATCCCCTGTCGGGGCCCAGACTGTGAGAGGGCTCAGGCCAGGCTGAGGGACCCCACCAATGCATGATCTGGCCTAGGGTGGTACCGCAGGAGGGCTCCAGGGCATGTCCAGCCTTTTTCACCCAGTCCCTATTGGTCAGACCCCAGCACAAGTTAACCTACTGGTCAGAGTGTCTGCTTCTATATGCCAACTGGTGGTCAGTGCACATCATGGTGACTGGTCAAACGGTTGAATGGTCAGACACTTAGTGTATGAGGTTTTTATTAGGTTTTTATTATATAGGATACTTAAATTACTCTTTAATATTGTCATTCAAAGTAAATCTAAAATATGGGTTAATCTGCTAGAGAACTGTCCACAATGCAGTTCTTTCAGAGCTGTATTGGTACCTCAATATTGTTTTGAACTGTAAAGATGAAAATAAAAGAGAAAAGTAGTTTTAAGAAATATAAATTTAAAGAAAAAGAAAAGAAATAAAATAATGAAAAAAAGAAAAGAAAAATATAAATATGGAATTATATCTTGGATGAATACTTATCCATTTTGGGAATTAAAAAAATATTATAATTTTTTATAATATTTGACATTCCAAAACAATGATGTAAATAACCCTAGATTTCTCTTTTTAATTGAACAAAATACAAATTTCTAAAACAAAATTTTGGATTTTCTCTTCACAACATCTGATTTGGAACAAATTATTAGCATAAATTTAAATTTTGATATAGCAGATATAACAAATACCTTCTTAGATTCCCCCAGAGATAGAAAATATATATTATTTTATTTTTGAAAAATAAAAATTTATAATAAAAATTCATTTACATTATGAAAATTTCAAAATCAAACTAAATTGACCCATGATCTCCAAAATGTAAAATATAGATAATCTCTCCTACCATTTAGAATACCTTTGATTTCCATTCCAGAAATTTAAATGGATTAAATAATTGTAAAAATTATTTTTACAATTCAACAGAAAAACATTGCAAATATTATGTAGTGAAATATAAGAAAAATGTGATTTTTAGATAAATTTTTCTCCAGGTTAAGTCAATTTGTGTTTTGGGTTTTCTTTTTTGAGTTTGAGAAACTTCAAGCAAATTACCACAATTTCTCTTGCCAACAAGGACTATAACAACCTCCATGAAGGAAAGATAAATATTGACTATTCTTCAAAGCTCCTTTGGGTAATAGAGTATTTCCTCATCATGCTTAGCTTTTCAAATGATGTTCCACAGGATGCTGTGAATAGGTATAGCTCTTTAGGATGCACTGCATGGCTGAGAGGTTGGTAAATAGCTAGGATTTCAGTTCCATCAAGATCATCCTTCCTCGCCTTCCCAGCCTCCTTCATGAGGCCATCCACCTCCCTGATACTCAGCATCACGGTGTGAAGCCAGAAGACAGGAGTGCTCCAGCACCTTGCACCAGCAGTGCCCTTCTCTTGCTCAGATCTCTGGTCTACAGGTTAGTATTTTTAACATCTTCCCCTGCACTTTCCCTCAGAGATACATGGAAGCTCCTTTTGTGAGGATAGTTGACTATATAGAAATTTTATACTCCTCTAATGTTACTTCATTGGTCTAAATATGTAAATTGATGCTGTAAAATTAAATATGCAGAGCAACGTTTTTAGATGTCAAAATCTGTGAGTTAGGAATAAGTATTTGCTGAGCAATCAGAAACTTCATCTGTTATAAGATTTTTAAAAAATCTTGTTCATGTTGAAATCCCATTGTGAATAAAATCACTAAAATTAATCATTAATACTATTTTTGGTAAGTGGAGTTTCTCAAAATGCCTGTAATGTAAGAGCTTCCTAAAACCAAATCTATATCAATTTACCTCTTAGATGTTTGCTTTATTTAATATATATTTCATTTACTCTAATATGTAATACTCTAAGAGCTTTTCATGGATGTTTTCCTGACTTTATTAAGTACTTCTGTTTTGACAAAGAGTATTGCCATAGATCTCAAGAAAAAGTTACCGGTAATATTTTATTACTCCAAAGGGAAATTAAAGGAAGTATTTTGTCTGACATTTAATATTTAATACTACACAGAGAATAAAAATGGAAATTATTAAATATGCATACATACAGCTCAGAGAAAGAGTCCTAAAAATAAAGACTACAGAAAATAGAAAAAAAGAAAATGAATAGGGAAACCAAAATACATTTATTAGTCATTAGAGCTCCAAAATTATATTCAGTGCTTTGGCTAGATTTGGCTGAAGAAATAAATGTGCTGCATGTGGTTTGATTTCTGAGCCACTGCTTATAATTGTTATATTTTTACCATGCTATGATAATTCAGTCAAAACACCAGTTTAAAAGACCCAGTTAGGATTTACAAAAAAATAAAAATAAAAGCTTTTATGTGAAAAAAAAGGACAGTAATAATAGTATATTACAGCAATATGCCACTTACGATGTGTACAACATTGGTATAAGTTCTTTACACAAATCAACTCACACAATCCTTACCACGACCCTGTTATCACCACCCTCGATTTACAATTGCTCAAACTGAGTTGCAGAAAATTCAAATAACCCAAATCGGGTTACACACTTTATAAGTTATGTGAAATATCAGATATAAATGACATACGATGATTCAAACCCAGGCTCACTCATGACGGTCTGTCATCACCATTGTACACATGGACTGTCATAGGGAACACCTGCTAGGACCCTCCTGTTCCAATGTTTGTAGTGAGGAGTTCATTTCTTTTCCTTGGAAAAGTATGATCCAGAATACTTAACATGGAAAACTAAAACTGACAGACACTGACACCCACTGCCAGGGACTCGCTAAAAGGAATATTTCCATGGCAGCAGAAGTGGAACCTGGGAAAGGCTGGCCATCCATACAACAACCTTCGGTTTTACTGAAGCAATATGGTTGAAAAGATGCTTCCTCTGGACCATGCTTCTCGGGGAGTCCCAGCTTCTCTCTTTGAGAAGCATCTAATTAAGCAATTATCTGGGTTATTTCCCTTCAGGCTGCAGCCAGCACCAGCAGGACATCCTGGCTCATCAATATCACTCACTGTCTGGTTGATGGCCACCGAATAGAAAGAACTCATAAATAATCATCAGCGTGAGTGGTGAATCTCACTTTCACATTTTCAAAATTCCAATGTGTTTGCTTTTCCTCAATTGTTGCTGATTCCTCTTAGAGTAATAAGAGTTGGAGTTTGAAACAAGAAGAGCTAACAGAGCTTTCCTGACCCAATGGCTTCTGACTTCAGGGAGGGCCCTGAGTGCCACAGGGCGGCTGCTAAGCAAGTGTGAATGCACATGTGCACTAGGAGTTTCTGGGCAAGGGAACAAACAAAACGCTTCCAGAAGGGTTAGGGGACTTGCTTGTGTCATGCAGGCAGCCAGTGACTGAACTTCAGTGAGAACTTAGATCTATGGATTCTGAGGAGGACCTCTCCTGAGGTAAACCACTTTCCTTCTTCAGCTGGAAATCTGAAGATATTCTCAAAAATTTAATATCATCTTGATCTCACTTGGAAACATAGGCATTTGATAGCCTCTTCAAATATTTATTTTATATGGTAATCAGAGACAGAGTCATCCATGTAAGAAAATGTAGATAATCCCCCCAAACGTGGCTTATTTCATAGTCTGAGTTATTCTAATCTAACTTCTGGATTTTAAAAAATACGTAAATTCATGCTGAGTAACTAAATTAGTTACAATTGTCTTCCTTCTTCCATTCGTAACCACTTTAAAATAGACTTACTGCATAGTCAAATTGCCTGAAAGCAGACATTAAATCAAGGGAGAGAAGAACTGGCATTAGGTTTTAAGCGCTAACTCAAAGGGCTAACTATCACACATTTTCATTTTGATTAAACAGCAATGTGCAGACTCTCTTAACTAATATATTATGAGCTGAATCAAACAAAATTGCCAAAATTTGACCACCTTTTACCCTAATAAAAGTAGCAATTTTAAGTGATTTGATATAATATCCCTTTATGTATTATAATGCATTAGCTATTATTCATGCTTTAAATTATTTATAATATTCTATTCCAGTGATGACTCTCATATACCGTTCTGATCATGCTACACAGTTATTATAACATCTAACGGGGGGAAATCACTTTGATTTCTTTTAAAAATACTTAAAATGTTAAAATGTTAAAATGTTGGAACAATCAAAACCATGTGTCATCATTTCTCATAGTAAAATCAAAATCTGCAAATATTATTAAAAATGGAAGGTTTCAGGTTACCACTATCATAAAAGAATGCATGAATCAAGATGGCAATTTAATTTTATAATTAACATATATTCT